CAAATAGTGGGGTGGCAGGTAAATTGTGTGGCACCTGCAGGAATTTTGCAACAGGACAGTGGTAAAGTATGATTGTAGAGAGCAGTAACACTTATTAGGAGTAGAAATATTTTTCATCGCTTTCTTCTGGCTGCTGTGGAGCAATGAAAGAAAATGCATGCATGACAACTACATATTCAACTTTATTGGTTATTATATTTATTCTTGAGTTGGCTGTTGGAATTACTGCTGTAGTAATTCAAGGTAAAACTAAAGAATTTTTCAGCAGACAGATTAGAAGAAACAATGCATACATATAACAACAAGCTTCAATGAAACTACAGCAGTTTGGGATACAATACAATCACAGTTCCAATGTTGTGGGGTCCATAATTACACCGACTGGAAGAGCGTTCCTGCTCTCTACAATCATACTTTACCACTGTCCCTGTTGCAAAATTCCTGCAGGTGCCACACAATTTACCTGCACCCCACTATTTGCTTTCCATGAAGGATGTTTGGAAAAGTTCGGTGATTTCGTAAAACAAAACATCTCGTACGTCGAAGGGGTTGGTATTGGCTTGGCCGTTATTCAGCTTCTGGGTATCCTCTTTTCCTGCTGCTTATCCAAATTTATAAGAAGTGATTACGAGACTGTTTAAAAATGATGAATAAAAGTAGTAATATTGTTCTGAAGCTATTTTCTTGTGGCATTGTAAATTAATTACTATTTATAACTGGAATAAGCCACAATTAAAGATAAAAATACGTTTATTGACGTTTCAATTTCCAATTCGGAAATCGTTCTCAAAATACAAACAGTAAATTAAACAAATTTTGTTTTTTGTTACATAGTGAAAAAATTCTTCTAATAATTTAATTTTATCTGACTCATTTATATTGACAATTCAGACATACATTATGCATTTTAAAGTAGACGACTTTAAAATGATATTGCCAATATTGTTGAGTTGCGCTCCTGGGACGACTTTACTTATAAGATAGTTCATTCGATTACATGAAATCAACTTTAACTTGAGAATATCCGTCAGAAAAAATCATAGCATGTAATTCGTCTTTAAAAAGACAAACACATGACATGATGACAGTAAAATTCTCCTGTTAGTGATTCCATAGTAAATTATGAGGGAAAAACCAGGAAAAAACCTCATAATACTATCCCGACATTGTAAGTATTTGTTCGTGAATTTAGTTTACCTTCAACAAACATCAAAATTCTGATTTTATATGTTACGTTATTTAAAAAAACATAAATGATGTATCCTCCTATATGTTACTGACTTACTAATACTGTATTTTCATTATTAATAACTTCCTCTTTTCAATATTGGTAACCAGATCCTACATACATTTACTGCCGTGGAATGACATATAATAAAAAAAATGACGACGACTCCCATAAACATCCTACCAGCAGACCAAGGGGAATGCAACTGTATATAATGGATAAAATTCAATACCAAACTAAAATTAAAGATCTATTTTATAAACGGACACTTATACAAAAATTAACAAAGATCCAACAAAGCCTTTTGGAAAACAAAATAATATAGAACTTTATTCAAGTGCTTAAGAATGTTTTAAAACCAGGTATATCAGAGGAGGTTTAATTCACACCTCATTAACAGTAAGCACTCCTCATTTTTAGATGGAGTACCGAAAATCATAAACGAATATACCTCTTAGACCCATTTGAGTACCTCGAAATTCTCCTTTAGTGAACTATCAAAATTTTTATAAATATTTAAAACCTTATACAAATAGAAAATGACTACATTCGTAAAAAATCATCTCTTCTTCAAGTGCCATCTTCAGTTCCGAAGGTTTGGCGAATCATCAGGCTAGTATACGTCATTTTCGAAACTGCTGACGCGATACAATTCGTGTATGTTGCTGACAACTATACCATTCCCGTAGAATTCTTTTAGCCAGGAGTTATCCTCTTCTTCCTATGGTACTCTTTTCCTGCTATTTTTCCCTTGCATAATTATTCGAAGCAGTTCATATCTTTCGCCTCTTGAGTAATGGTGGCCCAAGTATTGCAGTTTTTCGTTTTTTGATGTAAATATGACTTCCTTTTTTCTTTGTTCATCTTCTCAAGACCTCGACATTGTGACTCTCTCGGTCCATGATATTCTCAGGATTCCTGCGATACATCCACAGTTTCAAATGCTCATAATTTTTTTGATATCAATCTTTTTTAACGTCCATGACTCCATTCCCGTAAATACAGGCACAGAAAGTACGATAACTTCTCATCAGGCTGAAAGTTTCAGTTCAAGGCTCAAATCTCGTTCCGCAGAACACTCTCATTCCATTTTTTAGTGAATATGGATCACTGGCGTTTATTCTATTCTTATTTTTTGATTTCACGCTGACTGCATCGTTGGTCTTCATTTATAAAAGTGCCTAAATATTTGTATTTGCTAACTCTTAAAAAGAAAAATATACACAACATATTTTAATAAATTATCAAAATTATTGGAATTTTAATTGACAAATCATACTCATTGGTATGTTTTGACATCAAATAGTGTTATTTTACGAATGTGCCTTTAAATAATGACAACTTTGAAGTAATAGTTCAAGAGAAAATACGAGTGATTGATTCATGGCAACGTGTAGAACTTGACTAAAACATATCGCTATAATGGAGTAGTTATCCATTATAGGCGGTTGTTTTGGTGTCTGTTTTATCTGAGAATACTATTTATCAACTTAATATTGAATTTCTGTATAAAACAAAATTTTGGTCTAGCAATTGGCTCTAGGTTATCTCCATTCGATGAGCCGAGTATAGTGGACGGAAGATTTTGAAACAAAATTTCATTTGCTATAAGACAAATTCACATACCACCAGTATAGGTGAGGTATGTTGAATGATGATATTGCTCCTTATGCCTCCAATGGATCTCGAGTTGTTGGACAACATTCCTATATGATTTTAAACGATAAAGAAGAGACATACATTTACCATGGAAAAGGAATATAATAACACGCTACCTTTCCTGGATGTTTTAATCTCTAAGAACGATACTGGATATGAGACTCAGGTGTATAGAAAACCAACACACACCCAATAGATATTTAAATTTCAAATCAAATCACAATATTAATGTAAAAAAGGGAATATAATTAAAATCCTTATACGGATAGAGCCAAAATTACTTGTTCTAACGAAAAATTCGTTCTTGGAGGAGAAACATTTGTTAACATCTGTTTTATTAAAAAATGATTATCCTTTATCGTTTATAAATAAGGAATTTTCAACAATCGATCGAATAGAACAGAACAACTTAGAACGAGATCCTACAGCATACACAAGGAATAATATGAGGAAAATAACAATACCGTACATAAAAGGATCTATCAGAAAAACTTAAAAGGATAGGAAATTAAATTCAACATTTCAACAACATTCAAAACAACAAACACGTTGAGATCTATTTTGTCCAAAACCAAACCTAACAATGAACAAGAAAGGACAAAGAATTGCATTTATAAAATACCTTGTGAATGCGATCAGTTTTATTTAGGTGAATCATCAAGGCCATTAAATGTTAGAATAAGTGAACATCAATCTTATATTAAAAATAGAGAATTTGATAGATCTCAAATCTGTAAACACGCATGGGATAATGAACATAGGGTTCAATGGAATAATTCAAATGTAGTCCTAAAAGAAACGGATGGTAAAAAAAGAAAAATCAAAGAAGCGGCTCTAATTATGCTAAATGAGGCCAATTGTGTCGCAAATTCCTCGGCAGAATGTAGTAGGATCTGGTTACCAATATTGAAAGAGGAAGTTATTAATAAGAAAATACCAGTATTAGTAAGTCAGTAACATATAGAGGATACATCATTTATGTTTTTTTAAATAACGTAACATATAAAATCAGAATTTTGATGTTTGTTGAAGGTAAACTAAATTCACGAACAAATACTTACAATGTCGGGATAGTATTATGAGGTTTTTTTCCTGGTTTTTCCCTCATAATTTACTATGGAATCACTAACAGGAGAATTTTACTGTCATCATGTCATGTGTTTGTCTTTTTAAAGACGAATTACATGCTATGATTTTTTTCTGACGGATATTCTCAAGTTAAAGTTGATTTCATGTAATCGAATGAACTATCTTATAAGTAAAGTCGTCCCAGGAGCGCAACTCAACAATATTGGCAATATCATTTTAAAGTCGTCTACTTTAAAATGCATAATGTATGTCTGAATTGTCAATATAAATGAGTCAGATAAAATTAAATTATTAGAAGAATTTTTCACTATGTAACAAAAAACAAAATTTGTTTAATTTACTGTTTGTATTTTGAGAACGATTTCCGAAGTGGAAATTGAAACGTCAATAAACGTATTTTTATCTTTAATTGTGGCTTATTCCCAGTGTTTAAAAAGTAATTAAAAAAGTTAGTAACTTGGTATGACGGCAATACAAGTATAAGAATATTTTGTTTTAGGTCTACTATGATAATTGAAATTACATAATGTGTTCCTTGATACAAGTAAATAATCGGGTCTATTAAAGATATCAGTTTCAATTTGTCACAACTATTAATCAGTTTTAGATTCTAGTATTTAGGGGGACTATTTATTCGTGTGATAACAACGTTCTTTACAAAACTTAATTATAATTATTCATTAATAAACGTATATAAAATGTTAAAAAAAAATTTTAAAAGTTTTAATAATTTTAAAAATGTATCATATAAAATTAAAACAAAATAAGAAATTGAACAACAGTTTGCTATTTTTTGGTATTTTAAATTTATCAATATTCTAATATCACGTGAGACAATAAAAGACTTAGTATGTACTGTCTGCCAAAAAGGTTATTTATAAATGAGAACTGAAAAAAAGCAAGAGTTGAAGTTTGGTAAAAAAAAAGAAGAAACGTTAACATTTTACTAGACCATGGCATTTCAAATGTTTTTCTAAATTAATATTTTTTACAATAAAGAAGAGTATCAATGAAATATTCTTACTTGTTTCATACTGCTTGCTGCACACTAAACCATATATAACTAAAAACCATAAAAACTAATTCTTAAGTTTTGTAAGATTGAACCGTTTCGAGTCATAACATACAAGATCATGTATTTTAGCTCAACGATTGCTTACTGTTTAAATAGCTTTTCTTTTTATTTCGGATTTTTCGAAGGTTATAGCGAATGATAAGGGAAAATCGTATGCGCGTATTAAAATTAATATTAAAATTTTAGTACACTAATTGTTTCAGCCATTAATAAATTAAATTAGATTATATTTTATTGGCAACAATTTTGGAATTTTTAAATTAAAAACTATAAAGGATAGTTGGTGAAAAGAATAATGTATCACAATGGTAAATGTTTTTCCCACATTTAAAATGTTTTTGTGTTTACTACTTTACGTTGCCATTTGTAAATACACTTCACGTGGCGCTACAGAATATATTTTCTGAGCGAATATACCGGACTTGAAAATGACTAACGCGAATGGGGTAAATGTAGATCAACGTTTTCCTATTATGTATCACCTACGTACTTTATTATAACACTGAAGACATACCCCGCTTTCGGCGCATGTAGCAAACTCAGGCATATTGGATCTTTGGAACGGGTTTTGTGATATCATTGTGTGACTTAACTCCTTTACGGTATTAACCTAAGTTTCTATTGTAGACGCAAAATACGATGTCTAAACTACTGAAGCCAATCTTTGTAGTTATGTTTACTGTACCTTTACATTAATATTGTTCTGAAGCTATTTTCTTGTGTCATTTGTAACTACTTAATTACATTTTATAACTGGGAATAAGCCATCAAGTTCAAAGATAAAATGTTCCGTTATTGACGTTTCAATTTCCAATTCGGAAAATCGGTTCTCAAAATACGAAATACGTAAATTTAAAAACAAAGTATTGTTCTTTTTGTTACAGTGAGTGAAAAAAATATTCTTCTGATAATTTAATTTTATCTGACGTCCTACTTATGTTTGACATTTCAGACATACCAATGTTATGCGTATTTTAAAGTAGGACGACTTTAAATTGATTATATGCCAATTATTGTTGAGTTTGCGCTCCTGGGAAGACTCATTACTTAGAAGAGATAGTTCATTCGATTACATGAAACTCATAGTAAAAATATTTAAAATAGATAATATAATATATATCTGATATATATATTTAAATAAATATATATATATGATATATATATAAAATAAACAAAATTCAAACCCACAAGTATGGTGGAAGGTATGTAGTTATGTTATACCAATATGCCTCATGAACAGAGTTGTTGGGACTCATTCCTAAACGAAATAAACGAAAAGAAGAGACAATAACAGTTACCATGGAAAAGGAATATAATAACACGCTACCGTTTCCAGGAGGTTTTAATCTCTATAGAACATACTGGATATAAGTCAGGTGTAAAAAACCAACACACACCCATAGATGATTAAATTTCTAAAGTCAATCACAATTATTAATGTAAAAAAAATAGAATAATTAAATCTTGTATACGATAGTGCCAAAATTACTTGTTCTACAACGAAAAATCGTTCTTGAGGAGAAACATTGTTAACATCTGTTTTATTAAAACATGATTCTCCAATATCGATTAATAAATAAGGAATGTTCAACAATCGATCGGAATAGGAACAGAACAACTTAGAACGAGATTCCTACAGCATACACAAGGAATAATATGAGGAAAATAACAATACCGTACATAAAAGGATTATCAGAAAAACTTAAAATGGATAGAAATAAATTCAACATTTCAACAACATTCAAAACAACAAACACGTTGAGATCTATTTTGTACCAAACCAAACCTAACAATGAACAAGAAAGGACAAAGAATTGCATTTATAAAATACCTTGTGAATGCGATCAGTTTTATTTAGGTGAATCATCAAGGCCATTAAATGTTAGAATAAGTGAACATCAATCTTATATTAAAAATAGAGAATTTGATAGATCTCAAATATGTAAACACGCATGGGATAATGAACATAGGTTCAATGGAATAATTTCAAATTAGTCCTAAAAGAAACGGATGGTAAAAAAAGAAAAATCAAAGAAGCGGCTCTAATTATGCTAAATGAGGCCAATTGTGTCGCAAATTCCTCGGCAGAATGTAGTAGGATCTGGTTACCAATATTGAAAGAGGAAGTTATTAATAAGAAAATTACCAGTATTAGTAAGTCAGTAACATATAGAGGATACATCATTTATGTTTTTTAAATAACGTAACATATAAATCAGAATTTTGATGTTTGTTGAAGGTAAACTAAATTCACGAACAAATACTTACAATGTCGGGATAGTATTATGAGGTTTTTTTTTCCTGGTTTTTCCCTCATAATTTACTATGGAATCACTAACAGGAGAATTTTACTGTCATCATGTCATGTGTTTTGTCTTTTTAAAGACGAATTACATGCTATGATTTTTTCTGACGGATATTCTCAAGTTAAAGTTGATTTCATGTAATCGAATGAACTATCTTATAAGTAAAGTCGTCCCAGGAGCGCAACTCAACAATATTGGCAATATCATTTTAAAAGTCGTCTACTTTAAAATGCATATTGTATATGTCTGAATTGTCAATAAAAATGAATGTCAGATAAAATAAATTATTAGAAGAAATTTTTTTCGACTATGTAACAAAAAACCAAAATGTAGTTTTAATTTACTGTTTGAATTTTGAGAACGATTTTCCGAATTGGGAAATTGAAACGTCAATAACGGTAATATAATCTTAATGTGGCTTTATTCCCATTAGTAAAATAGTAATTAATTCCACAAAATTGATTTTTAATCTTATCAACTACAGCTTTTTCGGCTGATTGCCTTCTCAAGAATCTAATTTTGACTTTGGATGTTTTGAAATCGTTTGCTACATGATCCAGAATTTACTGATAGCATGGGCTTAGAGGATTACCCATTTAAGTCCTAGCACGTGTTATTTGTATAGAGATTTAAATAAATTCGCAAAGTAGTTCCCTGGTTAGCAAACTTCAAGAAGATGTAAAAATTCAAATGTAATTATTGAGATTTGTTACTATTTTTGGTCTAAAGGTTTTTACTAATAAAAGAGTGCTGTAGGGAGGGATACTAGGAAAAAAGATTTTTCTACTCAAAAGAAATTAAATCTGGAGGTTGTTCGGTAAAAGAAAATGTTGGTAATTGGTATTACTAGTTTCTATTTGTATTTTTTTATGTAAAATTAAGTGAAAATTTATGTGGAAAAACACGTTGTGATCATTCTCCGCAGATACATCTTCAGTTTGTGACTTGTCTGTCCAATGGCATCTTCTGTTATAACCATACCTCAAAAGCCTGAAGTTTTGATAAGTATCTGCCTTCATTGTCCACATTTCTACTCCGTACGAGTAGCACTGAATACACGTAACATTTTCAAGGTGCCTTATATGTGTTTCTAGGGTGCAGGCATACTCTTAAAAATAAAAGCTACGTAAGAGAATATCAGTGCAATAGGTTTTAAGATTATGTTATAAGTTATGGAAACATTAATGAACAGGAATACATTGTATAAATCTGTTTCTGTTTCCTACTTTTATTAAACTTAAATATTATAATGCCTGTGTGTATTTTTACAATAATAAACATCATGACATATAAAAAACAGCTGTGAATATATTTTACTTATCTCACAATGTTCCTAGGTCGAGATACAACCGAATCTAAAAAGGGTATCGATAATCAGTTCAGTTACTGAGGAATTCCGTTCGCGAAATGACTCTCTGAATTACCGAGAATGCGATTGACCTTTTCGAGACCTGCTGCTGGGATGAGTCACCTACTGGATGTAACGTCATCGGATGGCATCCCAGACTTTTGAACCACAATGCACAGCAGCCGTTAAAGAAAGATACAGTCCTACCATGTGAGAAGTGAAACGGATAAAATGGTTAGCGCTCCTACAGGGAATGTGGACGAAGTGGGCACCTGTTATGATGGTGCCTGTGGAACCATGACTACGATGTGGCCGGAGGAATTGTGAATTGGAAAAGGAATGGGTGACTTTCCGGCTAAGAAATACCTTTGACGACTTATCAAATGTCAATGATATCCAGTCCCCCAACAAGAAAGAGACAAAAGTAGAAACTTGTGCCTGTGACATTCCATAATCCGTCCATACGACAACATCTGAGTAAGTTTCCAAGCAGGACAAATTATCGACCAAATAGTTTGCAGTTGCGCTGGACAATCTCTTAATCAGATTGGAGAAAAGGAAATAAGGGGAATTCTGTCGGCAGTATTGTGATAGTTTTCGTACCGAATATAGTAGGTTTAATACGAAGAACTAACCTGTGTGCGTTAATCAGTGAAATTGATACTGCGTTAATGCTAAGCCCAATTTCGTTAAACAGCTCGAGCGATTTACCACAGGCGGAAAAGAGAGAGAGCTGAAACGATTGTTTCAGGAAATGAAGAAAGAACCGGGGTAATAGAACCTTCTACAAACCGGATAGGGTTCACTCGGGTGGTTCCCTGTGTTAGAAGAAAGGCGAACAACTTTGTTCTGTTGGTATTACCGTTTTGCTGGACACGTTAACCAAGAAATTAAGTTATCCTCTGCCTCGAATCGATGACACATTGGACCATTGGCTGGAAGTAAATATTTTCTACTTTGGATTGAATCGGGATACTGCAAGGTAGAATGGGGAACCGTAGATAAAGAGAAAGAGCAGCCCTTCAAACCCAGATCTGATTATACAATTCAAACGTATTATGACATTTGGACTCTGTAACTGCTCCCTTCGCAGCATTTGATGAGCTTAATGGAAAATGGTGGTTGAGAGGGTATCTTGGAGAAACATGCCTAGTTTATCTAGATGATATAATACATCTTGAAGGAACATTTGAAATCATTTGAGGGAATTAGAAACGTTTTTAAATCGACTTAAAACTGCCCCAAATTGTTTAAACCCCAAGGTAGGTTCCAGACTATTTCAAGTGAAAGTCAATTATCTAGTCATGATAGTCAGTAAAGGAAGGAGTGGCCATGTAAGGGAAACATCGCTTCCATAGAGAATGG